AAGCCCTCTTTCTTTTTGGGGGGGGGGGGATATAGGTTATGCCTAGCAGAGACAAGCTGCCCTCAAGAAGATAATTACCCTAATAGTTTGTGTATTAAAGTAAATGGGAAGCTGTTTCCATTGCCGGTAAGCTTGTTTTTATGTATTTGTGGCTGCTTTGTGACTTGCAGGGTGTGTGTGTGTGTTAGGCATATGGTTTGTAGTTTGCTGTGTGAGAGAGCCATTGCTACTGTTAATCATGTTATAGCCACTGCGTGGATTGTGTTTTAGCCACCTATAGTAAACCTCATCTGTTAGAGTTAACGTAACAAAAATGTCAAAAACAAACCAATGTCTGTGTAGGGGATTCTCCTTGTAGGCCTTCAAACTATTAGAAGTTTATTTGACTTGATTGGCTGTAGCCCTCGCTGTTTGGCCTATCTATATTTGCAATTGGCTTGAGTTCCTCCTTGTTATGAGGGAATGGCATCACCTTCTTGTGTACAAGTTTGTATGCTGTTCTATATCTGTCTGGTTAGAGCAGAATTCATTCCAGGGGTAAAGAACAGACACGTTGTATGGTTCCCAGCATTTGCTGATACTGGAACAGTTGGCAGTCATATACTTTACGGGTGTCTGATGTTGCAGAAGTTAGTATGTAGGCAGGGTCACCTCAAGGCTTGAATATGTATGAAAAGGGAAAAGCATTCATTATTCTTGAAAAATCTCTGGAACAGGTATCTCTGTATAAGAGAACAGAGAAACTCTTATGCAATCCATTCTGAAATAGTTCTGGAAGCTACAGGAAATGAAAAAAGTAGTAGTATGTTATGGTTTCTTAGCAATGGGTTTGGAAAAATGCTGTGTGGAGAGAGGTGTGAAACGTCTTTCAGAATGTTTGTCGCCTTCTTGAGGTGTCAGATGTGTTGTCCTTTACTTTCCCTCCTGTCATGTGTGATCGTGACTGCTTTTTTTTTTTAACTCAACTTAAATGAGCCTCTTTAGCTTCCCCCCACTTCTTTAAACATTGCATTCCTGTTATTTTATCTGTTTTCAGTGTGTACAAGGACTTATTTTATATGTTTTCTGGTTAGTATTTTCTGCAAATGCCAGTTATGTTCCCTGCAGTAAACTTCTGGGGCTTTCTCCATTCTTCTGCAGATTGTTTTCCTTGCTTTAAGCACAACCCCCCCCCCCCAGAAAAAAAAAAAAAACAAAACCATAAAACAAACAAAGAAAACAAAAAAACCAAACCAACAAACAAAACACAAAAAAACCCCAGCCCGCAAAAAAAACAACAAAAAAACCCAAACCAAACCTGGGTCTTATGTCCTTTGGACATCAATGTCTGCTGGTTCTCAGTCTGCTATGCTGTGTTATGCTGTCTGTTTTGTGTGTAACATGTAACATTTGTGTGTAACACACTTGTAGCAAAAATTGTTTGGAGTCTTGGATTATTGCTTTACTTTAGATCTAAATCCTGTAGGTTTTTCCTTTACATTATAAGATGATTCTTTAACTTGTTCAGCAGAAACTTTAGGTGAGAAAGTGAATAAATGTCTATTGTCTTGGCAACTTCCTTTCTTTCTCTCATTCAGAATGAGCTGAGTGACAAATATAGTCTCACTCTGAGTGATCCTGCAAACAACTTTTTTGATTTGGTCACTGTCTGCGTCCCTCTGGTGGTTCCTTTCTGTTGCAGGAAATGTAAGATAACTTCTTTACCTCAAAGGCCACTGTTGTCCAACTTGGTAGCGTTGGTGTTAGGTAATTAATCAGTGATGCCAGCCTCTGTTGCCAACTTGTATAGTTCTTAATGAGTACTGTTCTGTCTGCCCTGGTACAGCAGTTCATGCCTCTGCAGATGTCTTTAAATTATTCTTGGTCATCTCCTTGGCTGTAATCCTTACCAGAAACTTCAGAGAAATATTGCCAGTGTGCCAATACTGCTTCAGGTTGTGCCAATTCAATGTTAACACATTGTTTTGTATTCCTAAACCTGTGTCTTCATCTTATAGTGTTGGTTCTGACTTAAAAGGAATAAACTTTAGAGCTTTACATGCTGATGTATTGGCAAGTAACAAGGATTTTACACATAATGCACTATAGCAGGTGGTTTTCCTGTAGCGTTCTTTTGTAGGCAAGACAAAATGCAAAAGTTCAAAAAGGTAATTTGCTTTTCCCAGGGGACCTCTGTAGACTACTTCAGGTATCTTTCAAAGGACAAAATCAAATATGTCAGGGCAAGCTGGAAATAGCAGTCACTCTTTCTGCTGGTAGACTCTTCTGGCTTTAGTAGATTCCACCTACTTTGACTAATGCAGCTCTTGCAAGTGTGGAAGACTTAAAGACCCAAATAATGTTGGCATTTACTAGCCACTAGAATTGGCGGCCTAACCTAAACAGTGCTAGACTATGCTGGTTGTGATAAGCAAGCAGAGTGTTCTTTACTTAACTCCTGGAAGGCTGGAAAGGGAAAGTTTTAAAGTGTTCTAGGAGTACAAGATTGAATCTGATCTCAAGGTCATTGCTCTGAGGAAGAAAACATCAAAAGCTTGACTGAAATGAAGCATGTGCACTTCAGAGCCTATCTCTAAAAAAAAAAAAAGAGAGAGAGAGAATTTGAGAACTTGTATCCTTGCTCTTTTGAAAGCAAGGTAGCTTCATTTTAGGTTGGAGACCAGCAGGATTATTGTGGCTGGTACAGTATGTGTGGTAATAATCTCCTAAGTGTTGCAGGGATAGTGTGTTTGTCCACATAAGCTCATTATAAAGTCACCTTAGTAGAGAAAGGCCTACTACAGCAAAGCAATTGGGATATGCACTTCATAAGTGGCTGCGGCTGTTATGTCTAATTAAAGAAATAGCAAATAATTTGTTCTCTTAAATGTGGAACTGTCAGCAGTCCCCATATATCTGCTGCTTCTATGTTCTGTGATAAAGCATGTGTGGTGAGGTTCCCAGTAGCTACTGGGTCACTCATTTGGGGTGCAAACCATTTTAGAGAGAGTTCGTCAGCAGTTGCTATATGCCACTCTGGCCCATCAGACCTGCCTGTAGAAGCTCTGAGTCCCTGTTCTGTCACTGCAAGCAAGAGTCCTGTCTGAAATTAATAAAGGACAGTGGTGAGGCACAGCCAGGGCTTGGCTCTTAGTTGAAAACACATGGAATAGTGATAGAACTTCTTTGGAGACCTGGGAAATGGTGTGGCAACTCCCTGGATTAAAGGCAGTGATTAACTTGTGGTCTATTTGGCTGGTGAGTGGAAGAGGCTGTTTATTTCTGGTTTTTATTTTCAGACTTAGCATCTTTCAAAGTAACTGGTGCGTTTTGAAGGATTTTTTTGTTGTTTTGGGTTTGTTTTTTTGTTTAAAGCAATAGGCTGTGAATGTGTTTTTCTCTGGGTAAAAAAAAATACGTGTGGATTTTCAACATATCATTTCTGGGAGTTTTTTGTATAGAACAATGTTTCTGGGAGAGTTTGTTTTTGTATAGAACAACACTGTCTTGAAATAAATGAAATCTGACAGTTCTGTGCAAGACACAGGGCTGCAATCTTTTATTTGTATCTTTCTGGTGCAGGATGAGTTTGAGATGAGTGGACTGTAGGCTGTCTGTGTGAGCTTGAAACAGATTCTCAGAGTTTCTGTCACAGACAGCCTTGCTTTCATAGCAACAGATGCAGGGTAAGATGAATAAGCTGCAGTTGGGCTGTGTGCTCCTTCATGCAGCACAAGTACTTTCTGCTCATGATATGCTGGACAGTAAGTGTCCCAGGGAACTGGATGGCTCCTGATCCAATTTGCAAACACTATATAGGAAAAAAAATTACAGAGAGAAGCAGTTCAGGTTATGAAATTCTTCATCAAAACTGAACAAAGAATACTGAGTTTATTTTGTTTCTGCAGGCAACAGCAAAGCCTGCTAGCTCTTAAATACTGCTGATAGTCAATCTACAGCTCTTCTTCAGGGGCCTTGGCAGAGTACAGATGACAACCTGTTGCTAATGGGGCCAGGCATGGTTGATACTAGGCAAAGCAGATGTCAAGGAGATGTGGAACTCTTGGAACAAGACTTAAATGTTTCTTAAATAGAATCAATGAAGTGTTTGCTGGATGTGAAACACTGAATTAACTCTTCACGACTTGCTGTGTCTGTCACTAAGGCTCTGTCCTTGTGATGTTCTTCTCTCTT